AACCTGACATACGGGAAAGGACGAGAGCCGTTAGGAAAAGCTCTATGATGTGGCTTCACAGCAATGAGGAGAAGGCAAATGCACGTTCCTGGTATTTTTTCCTCTCTGTATCTTTTGTTTTTGAGAAGATTCTACTTTTTTGAGAAGATTCTACTTTTTTGAGAAGATTCTACTTTTTTGAGAAGATTCTACTTTTTTGAGAAGATTCTACTTTTTTGAGAAGATTCTACTTTTTTGAGAAGATTCTACTTTTTTGAGAAGATTCTACTTTTTTGAGAAGATTCTACTTTTTTGAGAAGATTCTACTTTTTTGAGAAGATTCTACTTTTTTGAGAAGATTCTACTTTTTTGAGAAGATTCTACTTTTTTGAGAAGATTCTACTTTTTTGAGAAGATTCTACTTTTTTGAGAAGATTCTACTTTTTTGGTTTTTAATGCATTACTCTTATTATTTTTTTGTAGAGAGATTTGAGGAAGATCTCCTCTTTCTGGAAGCTAGGTATCTAAGGAAAATACTGTTGCAATTGTGTCAATAGTACTGTGCTCCTTAGTGAGACTGAATCATAGTGTTGGTTTTAATGAATATTACTTGTTTGGCTTGAGAGTACCTGTTTCTAAAATTTTTGCATCGCCAAGTGGGTATATAAAGCATTTTTCTTGCTTTAGGAGCTGGGTGTAGAACTGTTGAATGTTTTGCATCGACTGATACTGACCAGAGAATCACCTGATATTCAGCTTGCTGCCCTTGAAGTGGTTCGACTGATTCTTTTTGCAGCTCAGGAACATGTGAAAGAAAAACGCAGAAGTGCAGAAGGTACAATAATGTACAAGATGCTAAATGTATCTTATTAGGGTTAAGGCAATTCTCTGTTGGGAAAACTGCATTTCGAAAGCCATATTCCAACGTACTGCTTAACCTAAGTGTTTCACAGCTGGTCATGAATTGTGGTTTACATATTTTACAGGTGCCTGACTTAAGAAATTGGGGCAATATGATAGCACATGGTTTTGGAGGTAACTGGATGGGATGAACAGAGAAGAAAGTGAATGCAGGAAAACTGCAGTGAACACTGGAAACTGCAGTGTGGGGAGAGTCTTGCACAGGGAAAAAAAGGGAGGAATCCTGGGAGGGGAAAAAAAAGAAGGGATCAATATCAATAGTGCAAAAAAAGAGTGCTGGCACCCACAGCTGTTGCAAGACAGACTCCACTAATTCCTCTGAAAAAAAAAGGCAAGGGGAGGTGTGGAAATAATCCTTACATGGAGAGAAATTATATTGGCATGGTAGCTCAGCAAGTTTTAATTCTAAGCATATTGCAAACACTTCTGCCCTGTGGCAGTGCATAGTTTGGTCGTTCAGAAGGAGGGATGTCGCAGTAGAACTGGGGACATTCTGTGTTTGTGGGCATGCGCACGTCTATATTTGTCAACATGATCATTTGATGGTGAAACAGTTCTAGGAAGAAAACTTTTTGGAAGCAAAGTACAATTTGCTGATTTCTGTCATGTTTCATCTTTTTTGTTATAGTTGATGATGGTGCTGCAGAAAAGGAAACGTTGCCAGAATTTGGAGAAGGCAAAGATACAGGAGGACTAGTGCCTGGGAAATCATTAGTCTTTGCAACACTAGAGCTGTGTGTGTGTATTCTTGTCAGACAGCTTCCCCAGCTCAACCCTAAGTTAACTTGCAGCCCTGCAGTTCAATCTGGAAAACATCTGTTATTGTCAGAGGATGGAAGCAGACTGGTAGCAGCAGCATTAGTTATCCTCTCCGATGTTCCTGCAATCTGTTCTCCTGAAGGTATGCTATTTCATCACAAGGAAAGACTAAAAGTAAAAAATATGGGACTGTTCTGAACCCATCGTTATTAACTAATTTTCTTAGCTGGAGAAATCTGACCAAGTTTTATTAATTTACTTGTGCCAGTTTTCTAATTACTTTTGCTACTGTCAGATTATAAAACAAATTACTGAAGCGGTTGAAAGTAGTTTTCCTCTTCTTCCCACATGCAATCAACAGATTAATTTTGTACTGCCAAGTATGTTATACAGTATACAATATGTATCTATTCTCCTTGAATCTGCTCTCTGGGAGTTTATCATGCAGCTGTCAATTGAAATCAAAAGGCAAAGGTGCCTTTCAGTAAAACCCATCATTTGAATATTTGATCATTTGAAACATTGTAGAGGGCTAATTTCTCAATTACTTACATGCAGCATTTTGGTGCACTCCAAATTCTGTTAAGGGTTTTGATGCTGTTGTTTTGGGGTTTATTTGATGTTGTTGTCATTTGTTTTTATTTTTTTGATAAATTCATATGAATGATCCTTTAGTATTCATAATACCCATACCATATAGAGCTTTTCTGTCTTACTCTTCTTTCTTCCTTTTTTCCTTGTTAAGTATCTATGTTATATCTTAGGCAAATCACTTACAAGCTATGGCAATTCCTTTCTCTCTCTTTTTTTTTTTCTCCCTCTCTTTCATTCATGCTGTAGTACAGTATTTTTCTGTCATGTTTGGCAAGCTTTCAGCTTCAGGAGACAGTATACTCCAAGTGAAATAGTTGACAGCTCTTACTGTCATTGCAGGGTGATTATATGATTTCTTTTTTTTCCACCTGTAGACCATTATTTATCGGTTCAAAGCAAAAGGAATCAGCCCTAGCATAATTGTTTACACTGGAGAACCTAAGCATTAGGTGACTAAAATGAACGTAAGCTTGCTGTATAGTCAGTTGCATAAGGAAACATCTCCAAAGGTGACTCAAGTGATCAAAAACAAGAGATGTACCTATATGCCTATATTGCTTATAGAGAATTGCATCTTTTTTCCTTTAATAGGAAACAAGTCATAGTCCTGTGAATAGCATTTCTCTTACTACAGACACATGTCATGATGCTATGCATAATAAAATATATTCATAAATGATGTTCATAAACTGTATTTCCTACTGTATTCAAACAGTCAATTTTTAGATATTTGAATGTTTAAAATAGAAGATAATGATCTGAGGCTCAAGAGAGATTTACACATAGGTCAGAGGTCCTTATTATTCAACAGATCTCTAAAAATATAATACAAATATATTAAATCTCAAACATGAGCATTTTGCTGAATAAGGAAGGACTTTGTAATTTGCTGAGTCAAAATTTAAGTTGAAAGAAGTATATATGTATGCAGGATTTTAGAATGTCTCCAACATGTGCAGGATTCTGTATTCCTATAGTGGCCAAAGACACTATGCAAAACTGCTATACCTACTTATTCCTGGGATTTGTACACAGTATCTGTTCGGGCATCTCAGCCAGCAGATGTTCAAGGACAGATGAAGGCTCGTTAAAAAGTGGGATCACCTACTTGTCCTCTTAGGTCTCCGCTC